ATAAATATATGAGATAAATAAGATAAAATAAATTTCTAAATCATTTATAATTTCTTTATGATTTTCTTGTAATAACAAAAAATTAGATGGATTTTGTGTTTTTATTAATATATTAGCTGATTCCTTTAAATTAATATTAAATTACTAATAAATAATTATAATTAATTAATAAATTTATATTTTATATATTTCAAATATTTACCTTAATATTATAATTATTAGTTGATATAATTTGAGTCAAATTTTCAAATAATTTTTTATCTTAAAAAAATTCTGCATCATTTTCATTAGAACTATTTTGTAATATTTTATCTTTTTTTTTAAAATTATCTTGTATTATTATATCTTCTTTTGTTCACTTTTTACAAAAATATGACGATTTTAAATATGTTATATTAATCCTTATTATTTTGTAAAAGTTTAATAACATCCTTTATAAGGACAATGTAAATTTATTATATAAAAAATTGTTTATTTTTTTTTATTTATTTTAAAGAAAAATAAAGATTTTTTTTATTTATTTTAAAAAATAAGAAAGTTTTTTAAATTATAAAAAAAATCTTTATTTTCCAATTTTACTATTTATAATTTAATCAAATTAATAAATTTTTTTAGTTTTATTATAATAATTCAATATCAAATGATTAATATTCATTATTATTGCATTTGTATAAACTATTTAAACTTATTACCATTGTTAAACTCTTTTATAAACTCTTTTCTTTTTTTTATAAGTTTAAAAATTTTTCATTTGAAAATTTAACTTTGCTACAAATATTATTTTTAATAATTTACATAATGCTAACTCTTAAAAGAAGAAAAAAAGGTTGTTTTAAGTGATTTACATCTTTGTTAACTAAAAATATTTACTAAATAAATAAGATTTAAACTAATAACAAATGTTGCAGTTCTAGTTACTTGAAAAATATGTACTTCTCTTAAAAAATTACATATAAATTTACCTTTAAAGTCACCAATTACTACCTCACAAGTAACTGCTATTATAAAAAAATCAAAGTATATTAATTTTCTTTAATTACTAATTAGAATATATTATATATTGATATCATATTTAAAACTAATAAATTGTTCAATTTTTTATTGTTGATTACATATAAAAGAAAATAACAAATCATTAAGAAATATAAAATCATCTAATAAAAAAAAAACAAATTTTTTGATAAGAAAAGGATCTAATAAGAATGAATTGCCTAATAAGAATAAAAATAACAAATCACCTAATAAAGATAAAAATAATGAATTGCTTAATAAGAATAGAAATGATGAATTGTCTAATAAGAATAAAAATAATAAACTATCTAATAAGAATAGAAATTATTTATCTGAGACGTCTAATGAGAAAGAGAATAATGAATTACTTAATAAGAAAAAGAATAATAATTATTTATAAAATAGTAATTAAATTTCTTTAAGGAAACATAAGTGAAGTAATAATACTGAATCAATACAAATATCCAAGAAATTTGCAACTGGTATATTATATAGTTTTAAATTTTAATTTAAACCTTAATTAAATTTTTATTTTTATTTTTTAAAAAAATTAGGAGATAGTAACAATTATTATTTAGTTTTAGCAAAATTTCTAAAAAAATTAAATGCTCAAAATAGAATTATCTAAAAGGGTATGATAAAACAAAATAAAAAGCTTGATAAAATTAAAAAAAATAATATCAAAATTACAACATAAGAATAGTTTATCCAAAAAGATTTTTTATATTTAACAATAGAATTATTTAAAAAATATCTGAAAGCTTATGTTAAAATCATTCAAATGTGTATATAAATAATATAGGAAGATACAAATAGGATTTACATTTTTATTCAAAGTTTATACCTATGGTAAGTATTATTTCTTTTTTACTATTAATATTTAGTTTTTTAATCATATTTTTGTTAAATTCTTAATTAGTATCTTGAAAAAATACACTATTATAAAAGATTTCTCATGAAATATATACAAAAAGCACTATTTAAAGTACATTCTAAAGTTTCAGAAATAAAGACAAACGTAGATGTAAAAATCACAGAATAGAAGAAAATCCATATATTGCAGAAACATATGATAATTTGTAAAAAACAGATAAAATTGTTTTTATTATAATTAACAAAATCATTTTATTACCTATGCCAAAGTAGAAAAAAGAAGATTCTTTAAGACTTTCAATCATTATATTTACACTTGTAATTTATTATATTATTTTAAATCTACATGGTAATGATATCTAATATACTGAAGAAGCTGTCAAAAAAAATATGCAATTTTTATAGTAAATGAATTTATAATTTAATATTACTTTCATAATATTTTTAATTAGTTTCTAATTTGGTCAATAAACGTGACTAAATATGCATCAAATTCCAAATAAGAATGATATTACAGATATTTAAAATAATATCATAAAAACAAAAAATGATGATTATAATGATATTAATAAAGATAAAAGTTCAGAAGAAAATAATAATAATGATAAATTATTTAAATAATAAAGTAAGTTATATTTAAATAATATCTAATATTTATTTTTTTATTATTATTAATAATTAATGATAGTTAATAATAATTAATATTGATTTTTTTTTAAACTCAAAGGGTAATGATCACTTCAAATATTTATTCTACTTTCTATTTCTTTTTCTATTCCCTAAGTCTGTGAGATCAATTAAAAAATAGACTGAATTTTCTCTATTTAATAATGGTTATTGATCTGTATAAATCATAGTTTTTTAGATATCAGAATTAAAAATTAACAAAATATAATATTATATATGTAACATATGTATTTTATTTGTATATTATTTTAATTATTTTTTTATTTTTATTTTTCTTTACATTATCAAACTTAATTATTAATTTCACAACTTTTTAATTTTATTAGTTTATTTATAAAAACACAATATTAATATATATTTTAGTTTAATAATTTATTGTGTAAAAATAATATAAAAAATTGATCGTTATATAAAATAATCACTATATTATTATAAAAATGATTGCTATATTATTATTAAAAAATGATCACTATATTAGTATTATAAAAATGAATAAGAAGCTGATTATGCAAAGTATCTAATGATCTTTTAGTAATAAAATTTTCTGAAATTTTTTAATGCATAAATTTTCAGTTATGAGATATAGTGCATATATTTTAATATTAATAAATTCTAATAATGGGATATTTTTATTATTATGTATTATAAATAAAAATTTAAAAATTACCTAAATAATTACTTGAAAGTCTTACTTTCTTACTAACATTAGAGGTAGTACTAGCACTAGCATTGCTATAGACTTTGATATTAGCTTAATGCTAATATTGATTTTAGTATTGGCTTTAACTTTGGTACTGACATTGGCTTTGGTACTGGCATCAGCTTTGGTAATACTAGCATTGGCTTTGATAATACTGATATTAATGCTATTATTAATACTAGTATTAGCTTTAGTAACATTAACATTAGTGCTAATATTAGCACTGACTTTAGCATTAGCATTAATATTAACATAAGTATTACTAGCATTAGTGCTAGCATTAGTAATATTAGTAATAGCACTAAGATTAGTGCTAATATTAGCATTGGTAGTAACATTAGTATTAGCATTGGTGGTATTTTCTTTTTAATAAATATTAAAAAATAAAATCTTTAGTCTAATCTTTTTTTAAAATCGTTTATTTTTGTGAATATTATAATTATATTTATATTGCAAATATTTTTTATACATTTTTTTATTAGCCAACTATCTTCCCCTACTTATAAATTTTTATTTCTTTTTTTTGAACTATTAAAAAAATTCAAAATAATAATTAATATTTTTTAATTATTAAATAATTATAAATAATATATCTTTTCAATAACTTTTGCAATATGGCTTATATCTTGATTTTCATATTTGATAATAAAATCAATTTTTAAGGTCAACATACAGTTCTCAAAAAAAATAATGAGAATCATATTTTTATTTATTGTATAACAAATAAAGGTCAAAAATACATGAAAAATTTATAAAAAGATGTTCATCATATTATGATTATATTCCTAAAAATTATTTAGTAATCTGCCTTATTACTATTTCATTCGATTATCTGTTCTAATCTCAAAAGCATGCTATAAATTAAATTAACAAAAATTTTAGGCTCAATTTTCTCCTATTTTTTTTTTGAATTATCTCACAAAAAATATCTACAGTAATTAGACTTTTTTAGCCATTAGTTTGTTAACCTCATTCTCTACACAGTTCTTCATTATTTTCCATAAATATTTTATATGATTGAGATCAGAACTATTTAATAGTCAGTTCATCAATCTCGAGCAATGATCTACAAGTAATTTTTTAGTTTCCTTGGCCATATGCTTAGAATCGTTATCTTGTTAGAATACCTAAAACTTTTCTATGATAGAATTAGCATTTTCAAAGAGATTTTTCTTTAAAATTTATGATAAAAGATACTATCCATATTTCTAGTAAAAAGAAGAATGCTAATTTGCGAAAAAAAATAGCTTTTTCTTTTAAAATCGCATTTAAAATAAATATACAACTACTAAGAGCTAACCAATTCAAATTTTTAATGTCTCATTAACTAGTAAAACTTTAACTTAATGTGAATATTTAAAAGTAGCATAAATACTATTATCTTCAATTACTAAAAAGATATCTTTCTTTTTAATATTTTATATATTATTATTCAGTCTATATTTAAATTCCATTGCATATTAAAAAAAAGTTATATCATTTTGAGTTTATTAAAATTATTATTAGCATAATTACAAATTTTTTTACATTGTAATTTAATTAAAGAAATGCGTATTTTTTTTGTAGACTTTAAAGGTAACATACTTCTAAAGTAATATCACAATTTTGTTTTAAAATAAAATATTGACCTTTTATTAAAAAATCAAAATCACATTATTTAAATTTTATCAAAAATCTAAAAATCTAGATTATAATATAAAATTTGTTAATTAAACAAATTTAATATTGTTCTTAATCTGTAATCTAGATTTCTAGATTATCAATGATTTTTTTTTGACTATATAACAATTTAGTGTTACTTATTTTAAATGATATTTTAATG